CCTCATGCAGTCACCGTCCATCAGTGCAGCAAGATGCCACAGATTCACTATGTGCCTTCTCTGTTCTCCCCATGATCCCCCAACACCATGTGTACTAAACATTAATATCCCTCAATCCCCTTCTCTTTCCATCCCCACACGCCCTCCCACACCCCTACCCTCTGGTAACCACTAGTTCATTCTTGGAGTCTCTGAGTCTGCTGACATTTTGTTCCTTCAGTTTTGCTTCATTGTTATACTCCACAAGTGAGGGAAAACATTTGACATTTGTCTTTCTCCACCTGGCTTGTTTCACTAAGCATAATGTCCTCCAGCTCCATCCATGTTGCAATAAATGCTCATTTTTTAATAACAAATAATTACATGTTAACATAAGTAACATTTGATGAAGAATTAATTTTTCAAAAAGTGTGGCAAGAGTGATACCTATACATATTTTTTCAAATCTCTTTAATGTCTGGCTTAAGAAGATTGCTCTATTCAGTATCTGCTTCTTAATTCAGTATTTTGTAATACCCAAGTTGTGTAATTTCTGGAAAAACCTCTATATACTCAGGAGAGTAAAGAGGCAGACAACATCTTGGTTTTATTATGAAAAATACTTTTGAACTTAACCCCTGAGGGGTCTCCAGGGTCCCCATACCATACTTTGACAGTTGCTGCTCTAGATGATAGCTACAGGGATGGATGCTGAAGGGCCAAGGCCTAATCTAGCCCCCAGAATTAGTGGGCCTCAAGGCTAGAAAAATAAAGGAAACAGTTGATTTATAAAAGAGTCTAATACATTCATCCTATAGATTTTTACTGAATTGATCAAGACCTCAAAAAGACAGGATAACTGCAAATTTGGTAAGTGCATTTAAGGGTGCAAAAAAGAGTGGAAGACAGGAAGTACCACAACTTTAGATAGGGTGACCAGGAGAGATCTCTAAAGAAGTGACATTTAAGCCCAAGTGATAAGAAGGTAACCATTTAAGGAGAGGGAGGACAAGTCGTTTCAACTAGGAAGTCATTGCAAGTTGCCGTCAGTTTTTTCCTTATTATCGGCTTCCATAGGATGTAAGTTCTGTGAGGACAGGGTCTTTTTCTTGTCCACTCTTTTATTCCCTTTCACAGATCCTGCACATAGGAGATATACAGGATTTCTGAAAAAATCCCTAGAGAAGAGTGAGTAAAGGGGAGAGTGACACAAAGTGGGGTTAGGGAGGCAGGGTTCCAAACATAAGGCAGAGTAGACCATCGGAAGGTTTGGATTTTATTCTAGCTACATTGGGAGGTATTTAAAACAAGAGAAGGAAATGTTCTACTTTTTATTCTAAGGTCACTTTTCAACTGTCTGGAAAATGGATAGGAGGGGAGCTGTAGAGGAAGTGAAACCAGGTAGGCTTTTGCAGGACGCCAGTTGAGAAATGATGGCCTGTATTTAAGTAATAGTGATGCCAATGGAAAAAAGAGGCAGGATCAAGGTACATTTGGGACACAGCATCAACGTGACTTGCTAATGGAAGTAATTTACAGAATGAGGAGAGGGTGCATCAAGATGACACAGAGATTTCCTTCAAACCTGAGTAGATGGTGGTGCTAGTGTATTGAGAATGTGGGGCCTACTGTGGAGAGGACCAGGTCTGGAGGCAGAAATCAAGGGTAATTTTATGAGTATGTTCAGTTTGAGATGTTTGTGTAACACCTAAGTGAATTTGTCAACTAGGATCTGTGGAAGTCAGATTCAAGGCAGAAGTCAGGGCTGGCGGCAAAAAGTTGGGACTCCTATATGTAAAGATATTTAAATCTATGGGAATTGAGACACTTAGCTTAAGAGAAATGTCTTGGGGTCAAGCCCTGAAGAACTCTAGCAGTTTGGCTGGATAGAGGAAAGGGAGCTAAAAAGGTGAATGAGATAGAAGGGGAAACAAAAAAAATTGAGTTAGGATGAATACAGTAAGAACATTATAAGAGAAGCAGTGAGTACACTCGGGGAGGGAAAGGTGGGTAGAGAAGCCCCCAGGAGGAGGTCAGGCTCTATCCAAAAAAGGGTCTGTAGGCAATTTGGTACTGGCACAAAAACAGACCCATAGACCTATGGAACAACCTAGAGAGCCCAGATATAAACCCAACCATATATGGTCAATATATGATAAAGGAGCAATGGATATACAATGGGGAAATGACAGCCTCTTCAACAGCTGGTGATGACAAAACTGGACATCTACATGCAAGAGAATGAAACTGAATTATTGTTTAAACCCATACACAATAGTAAACACGAAATGGATCAAAGATTTGAATGAAAGTCATGAAACCATAAAACTCTTAGAAGACAACATAGGCAAACATCTGAATATAAGCATGAGCAACTTCTTCCTGAATGCATCTCCTCGAGCAAGGGAAACAAAAGCAAAAATGAACCCATGGGACTACATCAAACTAAAAAGTTTCTGTACAGCAAAGGACACCATCAACAGAACAAAAAGGCATCCTCCAGTATGGGAGAATATATTTGTAAATGACATATCTGACAAGGGGTTAACATCCAAAATATATAAAAAACTTACATGCCTCAACACCCAAAAAGCAAATAACCCGATTAACAAATGGGCAGAGGATATGAAGAGACAGTTCTCCAAAAAAGAAACTTAGATGGCCAACAGACATGAAAAGATGCTCCACATCACTAATCATCAGGGAAATGCAAATTAAAACCACAATGAGATATCACCTCATACCAGTTAAGGATGGCCAGCATCAAAAAGACTTACGAACAACAAATGCTGGTGAAGATGTGGAGAAAGGGGAACCCTCCTACACAGCTGGTGGGAATGTAAGCTAGTTCAACCATTGTGGAAAGCAATATGGAAGTTCCTCAAAAAACTAAAAATTTGACCCGAGAATCCCATTCCTTGGAATTTACCCAAAGAATACAACTTCTCAGATTCAAAAAGACATATGCACCCCTATGTTTGTCACAGCACTTTTTTACAATAGCCAAGATATGGAAGCAACCTACGTGTCCATCAGTAGATGAATGGATAAAGAAGATGTGGTACATATACACGATGGAATACTATTCGGCAGTAAGAAAGAAACAGATTCTACCATTTGCAACCACATGGATGGAGCTGGAGGACATTATGCTCAGTGAAATAAGCCAGGTGGAGAAAGACAAATGCCAAATGATTTCCTTCATTTGTGGAGTATAACAATGAAGCAAAACTGAAGGACCAAAATAGCAGCAGACTTGGAGACTCCACAAATGAACTGTTGGTTACCAAAGAGGAGGGGTGTGGGAGGGTGGGTAGGGAGGGAGAGAGAAGGGGACTGAGAGGTATTATGTTTAGTACACATGGTGTGGGGGATCATGCGGAGAACAGTGTAGCACAGAGAAGGCACATAGTGGATATGTGGCATCTTTACTACACTGATGGACAGTGACTGCATTGGGGTGTGGGGGGGGACTTGATAATATGGGTAAATGTCATAACCACATTGTTTTTCATGTGAAACCTTCATAAGAGTGTATATAATCATACCTTAATAAAAATAAGTAAAAAAAAAAAAAAAGGGTCTGTAGGAGTAATCCTAGCAGAGATGGAGGGAAAGTAGGCATTTTCTGGGCAGGAAGAACAGGGTTGATCAAAGTTCTGAGGACAGGGAGCAAAGTAGATTCCAGGACATTACCAATTAGAATAGGTGGAAATGATGAGCAATGAGGCTTGAGGACAGGAATGGCCATATCACAAATGGCCTTTCATGTGATAGGGTTGGCTAGGACCTTTTATTTCTTATTTCCAAGGTAATAAGATGTTCATAGAAAATGGTTAAATATGTAAAAACGAGAAGTCAAAAAGGAAATCACTCCCCAGGGATTCTATATTTATCTTCCTATATACATTTGTCTTTCATAGTTGAGACTATACAGATTTTCCTTGGGTTTTTTTGGGAGGTGGGGGATGGGGACTGAGTTTGCTTAACGTATTAAACACTTTCCCGTTAAACACTAAAGGCTTCATAAACATCTTTTTAAATGACTAGACTATTTTATAATGGAATCAAATTATTTTAATGTGTTTATTGAGTATTTCAATTTATTCATTATGCTTTGAAATATTTTTGTAATTTTTTACATTTCTTTTTAAGATCCTTGTTAGATGTCAAACAGCCTACCAAAGTTCGAAATATACCCTTCCAAGATTTCTGCTTTAGATTGTTTAGCACAATCACCATGGATACGGTGTGAACAATGGATGGGTGCCTGTTGGGGGTAGAGACCAGGTTGGTGCTCCTGGAGCTGCCCTGCCTAGAGGTCCTGGGCGCCAGGCAGCTTGCTGTTCAAGTGTGGTCCCGACCCAGAAGCGGCGGGCATAATCTAGGAGAAACGCAGGGCCATAGGTCCCAGCCCAGACCTCCCCATTTCGCATCTGCATTTAACAGGATTCCCAGATGATTCCTCTGCCCAGTCAAATGTGGGAAGCACTGATCTAGACCGGTGGTTTCAAACGTGGCTGCACACTAAAATCTCCTAGGGACCTCTAAAAATGCCAAAGCCCTGGTCACACCCCATACCAATTAAATCAGCCTCTCAAGTGACTCCAGTCCGAAGCCCATTTTGAGAACCTGTGATCTAGGAAAGGAGCGAGGAAGGAAACAATGGTTATTTGGGATCAGGGGGCTGAGGTACAGGCACGGGAGGGAAACGTCCTTTGCGCCACACAGCTCCGCTGTACTGAAATTTGCACAATGTACACGTAGTGCTCGTAAAATAAAGCTGTGGGAGAGCCTGCAACCCTGAACAAGGCGCCACCGCGCCGGGCGTGGACGGGTAGCCGCTGTCCCGGCACTTAGTTCCCAGACCCAGGCCGCGCGCCCCACCCCTGGGGTCCGCCCCCCTCCCAGTGGGGCCCGCCCCCTCCGCGGGCCCGCGCCCTCCGGCGCCAGGATGCTACTTGGGGCGCAGGCGCGCTGGCCGCCGCGGCCAGGGTTGGCCTTCAGTGACGTCAGAAAGCCTCGCGGGTTCCAGCCCCCAGCCCGGGCCGTGGACTCCCGCGCGGGCTGGGCAGGGGCGGGGCGTCGCCTCAGCTGAGCTATCCCGTCAGACCGCGCCAGTTTGAATGAAAGCTCCTCAAGATGGCGGCTGCCGAGGCGCGAGGAGGTGAGCGCTGGAGAGCGGCGCGCCTCTCTCTCCCCTGTTCTGCAGGCAAATTCCCTCGGCCCGGGAAGCGGGGTAGGGACCCGCGGACCAGCTCGAGCGCGACGCGGCGAGACGCCGCCTCCCGCCCTGCTGACACCTTGGCTCCCAACTGCGCGCCGCGGACTTCACTCTTCCCCTGGCCCCTGACCCTTCTCGCGGTTCGGCCTGCCCGTTCCCCACAGTCTCCTGCGCCCTACATCCGCGGGTCCGGGTCCGTGCACCCGGCTCCGAGGCCAACTCCCTCCCGCCCCGCGGGCTCGGTGGCCGGGTCCCCGCCATCCGGTGGGCCCGAGGCCGCTGGCCGCCGTGTGGAGGCATTCGGGCGGCCTCCGCGGCTCCGGGTAATCCCCTGGGGGGCCTGCGGGCGCGCGTGTGGTTTGGCTCCTTTGTGGTGGTTTGAGCGGGACGTTTTGTGTTTGGCTGGCTTTCTAACCGCGAAGCACCCGGTGGCGAAAATGTGACCTTAGTGTCAGAGGAGAAAATATATTGGGGCTGAAGTGTGAACCCAAAGGAAGCGAGTGAGGCTGCATCCCAGTTGGGACGCACTAGGAGGTAAAATTCTTCCCTGGGGAACAACCAGTCAGTGGGTATTTGAGGAGGTAGCATCTCGCTTACGGTGATTTTTAATACCCACCAGGAACTTGCGTGTTATTGATGTGAACGCCGGAAAATTAGGACCTATTCTGTCTTGTCGCGCGCTCCATGAAAGACAGAAATTTCAACCCATTCTAGAATTCAAAGGTGGTTTCCAGCTGTTCTCCTCTCCACATGTATTATGGACTCACTATCCCCAAACATTTCTTCCACTAGGGGTTAGTGTGGTAAGCTAGCGTAAAGTTTTTTGGATGGTAATGAAATGTTTGATCTTGCATATGAGTTCTTTGTCTAATTATAAACAATCTGAATTTTTACCAAGGGTTTGCAGTTTTTAATGTCCCAATTTTTTTTTCACAAAAATAGCTTCCTTCGTGGTTTGTGTCTTCAGTCCTCATGTTACTTCAAGTAGTTGAAAATGGTGGCAACAGCGAATGCACCTGGGGTAGATGTCCAAGAGGAACCTCTTTTGCGCGTGATCAGCATAAAGTTAACTTTACCCAAACACCCTGAAGTTTGTAGGTGGAAGGGACTTCAGGCTTGACTTGTGTTGTACCACTCTCCTCTCCCCAAACCACCACTCCAAAGCAAGCACCTTTTGGGGAAAAACACCTTTAACTTTCTTGGTCTTGTAGGAAGGTGGGTGGTGGATTTCCTGCTTCAGGGTTTCTGACAATGGGTGAGTTGGGGAGGGTGAGGAAAGGATACAGTACTTGCAACTGTGTTCTCTCTTCCCTGGAAATTACCTCAGAAGACAAAAGGTTATCACAACTACCTTGGAGAGCTACCAAGTAAAGCTTGAGTTTATTGATGGATTTTGTTTGGTAATTTACTGCAGCCCTCAAGATTTTTTTCAGTGAGTCTGAAACCCAGAAAAATGGAAGCCTCACTAAAGCCATGTTGCTAGGTGATCTGGCCAAGGTGGGGGCAGAGAACCCTTGATCGATCCTTTCTAGTGCTTACCATAACATTAACCATTAAGCCAAGTTTATTATGTATTCCTAATCATCAGTTTGTGTTACCATTTTATATGCAATATGGTAGCATACTGTTCACAGAAATTTGAAGGTAAAATCTTCAGCATAGTTAGTTACTGGCTTCTATGAGGTTGATCATGAGCGTGTCTGAATAGACTTCAGGCTTGGTGTATGTATGGATTATATAAATTGAATATTCTGTTTTATAATTCTTGGCTTTAAAAACAGCACAGGGGATGAGTGTTATGAAAATCAATATGCTCCTCATTATTATAACTCTTGGGTTTATTTTCCTTGATGATAATACATTGTGGCATAGGCAAAATAAATGGAGCTAAAATTTTATGTCACATTCCAAGTGGGAAAGTAGGATATATGATGTGAGTATGTTACTACAGAACTATATTTCCATTAGATTTCAATTCTTATTGTCCAAGTAAAAGAAGAAAAAAAGTTATTTTCTAATTGTAAAAGTGTTGTAAAATATATTTAAGGAAAATATATGTCTAACAATAATAAGCATATCTTAGAGATCTACATTTATTAAAAAGAGCAGTTATATTCTATGTAGAATATAATGGAAAAGTCAAAAACATGATCTCTTACCTTTACATCTGTATGTAATCTTAAGAAAGCTTAAAACATGTCACATTTTGTTCAGGTGGCTTAGTAGAAATTGACGTCAGTTAAGCATAATAGGATAGAGACCCATGAGAGAATCCAAGATGATCAGTTTACCAAAATAGTTCTTTAATGCTTAACTTTGTCTCAAAGACACAAATGATTTCTTGTCATAATGAATTTTTAGCCCTGTAAAATTGCCAGTTGAAGGGTGGGGATATAGAGGTCTTAAGTTTTTCCTTTTCTTTTTTTGTTTTAATTAAGTAGCTATTTCTTAGTAAAGAATTCTATTTTCTTATTGTAGCGTGGTGTGTGCCTTGCCTAGTTTCACTTGATACTCTTCAGGAATTATGTAGAAAAGAAAAACTCACATGTAAATCGATTGGAATCACCAAAAGGAATCTAAACAATTATGAGGTGGAATACTTGTGTGACTACAAGGTAGTAAAGGTAAGGCAAATATCTAGCCCCTTAACAGAGACCTAATTAGACTTCAATTCAGTATTTCATATTTCTGTAACATAAAAAGAACCTTTAAAAGTAAGCAAAGCTCTTAATGTTTAAGATTCTAAGCCATAATAAATATGTCCAATCATCTGTGTTGCCAAATAACATTAAGAGGATTTTAAAGCATAAAATGTGCTTGCATTAGAGTATATTAAGGTGCTTGTATCATTCTACATCCAACTCTTGATTATCTCTGTGTGGACTACCAGAGCAAATGTTTTATCTCAGATTGGCTTCTCCTGTCATTCATTTTATTCCTGAATCATATTTCCCCACTATTACCTGAAATGAACCTAGAAATTCAAACCAATTTTAGTGCTATGCAGTCTCCTCAAGAAGCATCCACATTTATATTTGCTGCTGTCATGGCAAACTCAAGATAATAGTGAAGTTCTGTGATGTAATAGAATGGCCTGGAGTTCAGTCATTTCTAGCCTTTGTGTAGTAATCTTGTGACTTCAGCAGTCATTTAACTTCTCTGGGCCTCACTTTATTACTGTTTCTCTTAAAAAATGATAAGATTGTTGTTCTAAGAACTCTGTTTTGGTCATTGTTTTCCTTCTCCATCTTCCATATTGACTCATTCATTAAATCCAATTCTTCCTTTGAAACATCCATCTTTTCATACCACTGCCTTCCCCACTCAGTGGGATTTTATGACCAGGTATTTCAACTGTACTCTCAGCAACCTGCAACTCCAAAGCAACGGTAATCTGCCATCTCAGTTTAAAAACTCTGGCCTGACCAATCTAGCTGACAGTATCACATAACCACACATTTGGCTCCATTAAGGGTTCTTTCTTTCTCACATGCTTTTCATCTTTTGCTTTCTTTTCCCATTCTTGTCAGCAGTTTTCCCAACCTTTATTAATTGTCTGTATTTCTTACTCTATCCCTCACCCTCTCATATTCAGTATCAGACCTCTTCTACTTCAGGGATGAATAGAATCCTTCAAGTATCAACTGTCAACTTCCCTTCACACCAGTTATCTGTATCTTCATTCATTCTTCCTCTTGGAGGTGTCACCATTTTTCTTTTTTTTCTATCCATCCCCTTTAGGATATTGCTTAATCTGTGATGCCTTTTCTGTATCAAGCTCTCTTTCTACTGATTTATCTGTTAATAAATAAATTCAGAGTTTCCCTGACCTTTAAAAATCTTCCTTTGATCTTACCTCCTCAAGCATTTCCTGTCTTTTACTTCTACCTCATTTCCTGTTAACTTTAAATCAGCTTTATTGAGATATGCTTCACATACCATACAATTCACCAGTTTAAAGCTTGTAAATCAAAGCTCTTAGCATACTCAGTCATTCTTAAATTGACTGTAGTGATGATTGCACATTTTCATTACCCCAAAAAGAAACCCCGTACCCACTTGGCCCTGGGCCACCACTAATCTACTTTCTATATCTGTAGATTTACCTATTGACATTTCATGGAAATGAAATCACACGATATGTATGTGGTCCTTTGTGACTGGCTTCTTTGACTAGCATAATGTTCTCAAGGTTCATCCATGTTGTAGCACATATCAATACTTTTTTATTACTAGATATTCCATTGTATTGAGTAGATTACATTTAATTTATCCATTCCTTCAGTTGATAGACATTTGGGTTGTTTCTTTTGGGGGGGTTATAAATAATGCTGTTATGAGTATTCATGTACAAGTTTTTGTGTGGACATGTTTCAGTTCTCTTAGATACATGCCTAGGAGTGGAATGCTGGGCCTTATGGTCTACATTTAGTTGGAAAGACTACAAAATTGTTTTCCAAAGCAACAGCACCATTTTACCTTCTCACTAGCAGTGTTATGAGGGTTCCATTGTCTCTACATCCTCATCAACACTTGTTACTGTCTGGCTCTTTGACTATAATTGTACTAGTGGGTGTGGAGTGGTATCTCATTGTGGGTTCAATTTGCATTCTCTGATGGCTAATGATGCTGAGCATCTTTTCATGTGCTTATTAGCCATTTGTGTATCTTCTTTAGAGAACTGTCTATATGCATCCTTTGCACATATTTTAAATATTAGGTTGTCTTTTTATTAGAATTGTAATAGCTCTTTGTATATATTCCAGATAGTCTCATCAGATACACAGTTTGTAAAAATTTTCTCCTGTGAGTTGTCTTTTCACTTCTCATTAACTTTTTGACACACCTTTTTCTGATTTATGCCCCTATCAGTGATCTCCTAGTTCTCAAATTTGAGGCTCTCAGATATTACTCTACTTCTTAGCAACATCTAACATTGTTAGCTACCCTTTCTTCCTTGAAACACTCTTGGAGTGACTGCCTGTCCAAATTCTGGCTCTAACATTTAGTTAGTTGTGTGACCTTCCGGCAGTTTACTTAGCCTTTCTGTCCCTCAGTTTCCTCACCTATGAAATGAGGATAGTGGTAGTACCCATCTAATAGAGTTATTGTTAGCATCAAATAAACTGATAGAGATAAAACCTTAAAACATAGACTGGCCTGTGGTGCTCATACTATAGATGTGTTTACTGCCACTAGTGTTACTCACCTCTATCTTCACTGCTTTTTCCACCTATTTTTCTTACTGTTTTTCCTGAGTCTACTGTGTCCTATCTGTCCTTCCTTTGAAATGTAGGTCATCTCCAAGGCTCTTTCCTTCACCCTCTTCTCACTTTGAAGTTGCTCTGGAAATGACCCCTTTCCCAGTGGTTTCTACTTGTATCTATTTGGCTCATGACTCCCAAAGTTTTGTAAGGCATTGACCTCTTTTGGCCTTCATTTCAAACTAGATACCCTATCCATACCTAAGTTCAGCATACTCAAAATTATACTCATTTTCTTACCTCAAATCTGCATCCTGATCTAGTGTTCCCTGTCTAGGTTAACAGAATCATAATGCTTCCAATCACCTAACCTTATAATGTCATACATTTTTAATTCTCCTGTCCTACCCTTCAGATCTAATAGATCATTAGATTATATTGTCTCTGCCTCTGTTTTTCTTTTCCTGCTACACTTTCACAGAGAGTTAGCTCCTAGGGGTCTGTGCTTACACTGAAGAATCTACCAGTATTCTTTGCTTTATATGTATACAGTTTTGGATAGTTTTTGCTGTTTAGTTTCTCTTTCATCCTTTTGGTTTGGAATAAGCAACCTTACTTTTTGCCCACTTATAATCCTCCTTTTCTCCTGCCTAGAACAAGTTAATTTACTCTCAACACAGATCTACCTTTTCTCTCTCTCTCTGACTCTTATATTCAGGGCAGGTGAAAGATCTTATGACCCTGTCTCTTTCTTGTATGTTCTCCTCCCTTTAGCTCTTAAAATTCACCTTCTTAATAACATATTCTTCAAAGCCATTAGAGTTGTTTGTGAAACACAGCTCTTATTGCAAATAGGCCTTGCTTTAGACCTTTTAATGGTTCCCTGATGTCTACAAGTCTAAGCTGAATCCCTTTGGACTTAGGTTCTTTATCATCTGGCCACCAACCACATGTGCAGCTTCATTGGTTATGACATATCCTGCTATCTGACTACACTGAAATAGTCTTAAATTCTTTCATTGAGTTAAGATTTACTGAGCACTTACTCTGGGCGCTCTTCTAAGCATTGGGAATGTAGTTTAAAAACAGACATGGCTTATATTCTAATTTTTTTAACGTCATGAACTTTTGTGCCCTTTTGCTTTTCTTACCTGGTTCCCTTCTTGGAATACTGTTGTTTCCCTTCTCTCCTTGGCAAAACTCTTATTTGTCCTGCAAGGTTCAGCTCAAAGGTTACCACTTAATAAAGAGCCTTCTTCCCTTCCCCACATCCAGCACAATTTATTGCTTTATGTTCAGGACTTACAAAAACGCTGTTCTTGTCTTTATTCTAGAACTTGACACATTTTATAGCTTTGTTTCATGCCTTCCCTACAAAACTGTCCACTATTTGAAGGCTGGGACTATGTCTTACTGAAGCCCCTAGTACATAATAGGTATTGATTTAGTAGTTAATGCATTGAATTGGCTTTTGCTGCAGTGATTTCTCCAGTCCTCACAGTCACTATTAGACTAGACCTTCATAGTTTCATGAGTAGATTCTAGCAGCAGTCTATTGGCTAATATTATCCTCTTTTCTTCTTTCTATAGTCTCAGTAAACATTTGTGTTTCTTCTTTGTGCCAGGTACTATATTAGGCATTGGAAAAATACAGATTAAAAAGAAACTGTCCCTCACCTGAAGGAACTCACAGCCTAGTAAGAAAGATTCACAAATAAATCAGCCATTGCAGTGTAGTATAATTGGTGCTATGGCAGACACATTACAAGAACTGTAGGCCAGGTTATAGAGCTTCCCAGAACAGGTGATATCTAACTGGGGCCTGAAAAGACAAGTATAATTCATTGTGGCTTTAGTATAGAGAATGGAGTGGTAGGGCACAGGAGTGGGAAAGTATGAGGATGAGTGAAGGAACCTCAAGCTGTTCTACAGCAACGCGGAGTCGCTTGAAAGGTTCTTAAGCAAGTAATACAATCAGATGTAATTCATAAATTTCTCTCTGCAGTGAGGAAAATGGATTGGCGGAGGTTGTGGGGGGAATGAGACTTGCATAACTTAACTTGTTCTGAAAGGCTGCTGTAGTAACCTAGGCAAGAAATGGTGGTACTTGAATGAAAGTGGTAATGAATATGAAAAGAAGTAGGTGATTCTTTTTTTAATCATCAAGGATGTAAAATTTACAAGTCTAGTTTAATAGGGGCTTGACTGGGGATCCACATCTAGGAAAATGAGTTCCTGACTTGGAGTAGTATACATAATAATACTGCTCACCAAGACCCAGGAATATGGAGGATCAGATATAAAGTGAATTGAGATAGAAGGACAATATTGGGTTTGGGGAAGAAGGCTGAGAACACTTAAGTGTGAGATGACCAGTAGATAGTTGGAAATGTGGCTCTAAATCAAGAGTGAGAACTAAC